CTGGGCCGGGCTCCTCTTGCAGCCGCACCGAGCATCCAACCACCGGGCTCTGAACTGTCAGAATTACTCTGAAAAAAATCCAGTTACAATAACTATAAAACTCGGTTTTCAGAAAAATATTTCTCTTTTCACGGGATCCTGCAGAAAATAAAAACAAAATAAGATTTTTTCCCTCCAGTATAAAATTGACCAAAGTAGTGTATTTGCTCAGGTACCAAAAATAAACTGCCTCCAGAAAGCAGAATGAAAGCTTTTGTGTAATTTCTATACGGAATTCAGGTGTTGTTTTTAAGAAAGCTGAAGATTCTCTGACCTTGACCCCAGGTAGCTGCCCGCTGTCACACCACAGCCGGCACGTTTGACAGCAGTTCTTACAGGCTTTACTTTCTCTTGATGTGAAGAAATTAAGTGGGCAGCTCGGGAAATTTAGGCATATGATTTTAATTTTCTTTTAAAGACCCAAATTTCCTTTCAAAGGTTCTTTCACAAAACGCCCAGCATGCCGCACTGTGTAATTTCAACTGTGTAGATCAGAAGTGAAACATTTCCCCTAATACCACATTATGTAAAATCGAACTGACAAGATACTGCGAAGTAATTGTGTATTTTAAGTAATCAAAAGTACAGAAGAGCTACTAAGCCTCCAGTCCACGATACATTTAATACGAGAAGTTCATTTTAAAAAACTGGAGACTGAATGTCATACAATTGTAGGTGCATGGACTCGGGCAAATTCAAGGAAAGCCCTGGCAGGAGCGGAGGCTGAGAGGGTGAAGCTGCCCCGTTCGGAGAGGTTTAACCCAGGTGAAAACACTGATTTCACTGCGCTCTGAGGCTGTTACCATCATGCTCTTGTAAAGCTATTTAAGTACTTGAGTTTCAGCGGAAGAAGCTATTTCATGCGAATACTTGTGCTTGTGATATCTGTGATTTGCGTGTATAGAATTATCCCGGTGCATCGGTCAAGAGACTTTGTGAACAGATGCTTTGATGCACTGGGGAGCGCAACCGGCCAGGTATGCTGCGGCTGTGGTTGGAGTCCTTTCCTGGTATGGAAGCGAAATGCTGTGGGTGAGAAAAGGCGATTAGGTACTGGAGTGAAGGAACCCAATCTGTATTCCCCGAAACAACTGAGCGCTCAGGGAATGAAATTGTCATTTTAAAAATTTTAACACAGCAAAAGCAAATATGAAAATCGAGATGAAAATACCCTTTAGGTTAATTAAGAGGCCAAGCTCACTTACAAACGATAAAGATTTGTTGCTTATCAGTGACCTTTCCTTCAGCCACGACGCCCAGAACCCCTTTGCAGGGGGGCTGCCTGCGCTCTGCAGCTGCAGACGGCATTTACAGCCCGACAGAATCGCTTAAGCGGCTGGAAACGAAACACAGCTCGGCAAAATTAACCTCAAAAGGAACTGGTGGAAGCCGGGTGAGCCTGGGGCGAAGCGTGGTGATGCCCTGGATTTCGGGCAGGTAAGGGCAGGCAGGGCAGTGGTGCACGGAGGAGGGCGGCGCTGGGCTCTGCACCTTCCTGGGGCAGCTGCAGGATGGGGAAACCACCTCAGCATTATCCTCCGCAACCCTGGTGGGGGGTGGTGTGTAAACATATGCGAAAACCTTGTAAAAACTGTTCTACATTTTAGGCACTGAAGTAACACATTTCCCTAATCTTTCCCTGAGAACTGTATGACTGACTTTTATGTTGTAGGGTCTTGGTTTGTTTTGGTTTTTTTTTTGTGAGGTACCAAACAGTCTTCAACCATTGGATATGATGGGAATAAAGTAATAAGATGTCAATAGTTAGGGTAACCTTTCTGGGTTGAGACTGCCAAAAATATTCCTGAATTTTCTATCATTTTTTCAGAGCAATGTGGGATTGTATCACACATCAGTTTCTGTCAAACTGCATTTTCTATGAATGCAAATCCTGTAGTGCTGTTACACAGGGTGAGGGTTTGGGCTGTTATTGAGGTGTTGGATTGCATTAAAAAAAAAGGTAAAATTACAAAATATTTCTCAAAAACGTCGTTCCACTGGATACCTTTATCTGCCAATACACAACACCCACAACTCTACCCTCGAAGGCACACTGAGATTCTGGTTTACACGCATTAGTGTTTGTGATCCCACCTCGCACAGGTGGCTGTACACACTGGGAGTTAAGCTGCTCTGGTTTTGGGAACAGGCCTCCTCTGCCCCAGAAATGTAGGTTCTGTGGGCTAGGCTTGCAGTCTAATATGGTTTCTTTGCATCTCTTCTTTTTCAGTCCCGAATTTTCCCTTCCCATGTGTGATGGGATCTGCCAGACAGCACCACAACATCCATAGGTACTGCTCATGGTCAGTGCAGGTGTTGTTGGTCCCTTGAGCCATGTCCAGCAGACCAGAGCCAGACCTGTCACATGCAGGGGAGGGTTCAGACTGTTCTGAACAAACACCCTGAAATCCACAAGCAACAACTGCATCCTCTGTGCGCAGGAACTGCCTCCAGGATGGTGAGGAGGGACCTGTGGGGATGGTGGGACCGCACAAGTGGGGATGGGGATGGGGACAGCTCGTGGCTCTCCAGAGCTCTGCTGGGCCAGCAGGCTGGGGAGGCTTCACTGCATGGAGGCAGATGTCCCTGTTTGTTGATGGAAGCCCTGGGGTTTCAGTTCAGCCCAGACAGGCAGCTGTGCCCCAAAGTGGAGAGGAAGGTCAGTGAAGAGGTGACTGCGAAGGTCTGACAAAATCCCTACCCTGGCACTGCTACATTAACAACTGCAGCAGCAGCTGTGTCCCCACACCTGAGGAGCTGCTGTCCCCTGCCCTGCCCTGGGACCCTTGGCTGCTCCCACTGCCTGTCTGCTGCCTCACAGGCTGTGGGACTCTGGCTCTGCCCACCCCCCTCCCTGCCAGCAGCTCTGCAGTGTTAGACATGATCCCCGCCGTGTTCAGAGAGAATTGAACCAGGATTAGCCTTCCCAAACGCACACAAGGGCTGAGACCAGCACACACTGTGCTACTTGGGAATGTTTCTGTGGAATTTACATTTCACGGACTGGCTGTCTCAGAAGTGGATGGCCTTCAGTCTTCAGTACTTGTCCCCAGCACCTCTCTCACTCCCCAAGAGAGGAATCAGCAGAGCTTGCATGTTCTGTGACATGCTGTGCGGGCTGGCAGGCACCAGCAGCCACTCAGCACCTCACTGGATGCAGCAGTGAACTTATGAGGACAGAAGGGCACTGGCCTCTCCCCTTCCCATGTCCCAGGCAGGTGCTGACGTGTTTCCAGTCCCCAGGAGGAGGACAAAAGCAAGACCACCAGACTGCTCAAGTTCTAAGTCAGCAACCCATGAGGCTCCAGTTCCTTCCTTCTGGCACACCTGTGACTGGAAACAGTGTACTGAGTCTTTCAGAATCTACTCAAAGCCCCAGTAATGGAACCAGTGACATCCCTGCCTGCATGGCCTGGGAATTCCTGCACAAACCAACCACCTCCTTCAGTCCAGGTCTGGCTCTGCCATGTAAGTGACCACAAGGGGGATCAGAATTCGGTGTTGCTAAGGTTTACAAATTCATTATATGAAAAAAAACATGAGCATGGAGTGCCTTTGCCAGTGGCACAACAAGGAATGCCCACAGTGCTGTGGTGTTTGTATTAGTTACTGCAGTCAGTGGTTCATGGCGCAGTCAGACACCCCAGCCCTTGGGGCGACTCTGACAGTGGCCAGAGCTGAGAGCACAGGGAGGGGTGTGAGGAAATGGGTTACTGGTATACAAAGCTGGCTAAGGGGCAAGGAAAAATGGCACGGAGTGGCCAGTGGCCACAGGAATTGCCTTGTAGCACATGAACACAGAGGGGCTAGAGCCTGAGACACAGCAAAGAGCAGGCAAACAGGAGCTGTCCATGAGTGTTACTACTTAGAACACAGCAGTATATAAAGCTCTTACAAAGAGCATTACAATCATTGTTCAGTTTGCCATATGCTTAGTCTATATCATCATTTCAACAAACAGATCAAGACTGGTTCCAGGATCATCCTGGGGCTGCAGTGCAGAGCTGGGATCCTCTTCAGGGGTGTGCACAGCCTGTCCCCGAGAATTCCGTCTCTTTCTCCTGCGCACGTACACGGAGCGGCTCTGCTCCAGCTCCTTGGCAGTCAGGGGGTCTGCAGGGACAGCAGCTTCCAGAGCCAACTCCAAGCCTTTCTGGAATCTAGAAAGAAACAATTCTGTAGTTACTACTTTTGTAGGTTTGCTCAGGATCTGCAAACTAATCTGAGGAACTAATCCTTTAGGAGTGTAATTCAAACACGAGGAGAAGAAAGTGGTCACTAATGTTTTAGCTGGTATTGAAGAAAAATCAGATGTTATGAACAGAACTGGTGTAATTTTACAAACCTGTCAATCCTCCTTATGTTTTCTTCCATTTTCCCATTGGCAACATGTACCAGAAATTCAATATATTCTTCGGAGACCATCAACCTCCCCTTGTGGCTTAATGGAACCTCTAAGCAGTGAGTGCTCCGGACAGCCTGAAAACACACACAGCAGGATTTATCTGGAATGAAGTTGTTTAGTTTATGAAAGTTATTCAAATAACATAGGGAGTTCATTCCAGGAGAAACCCTGCTTATCCACACAGTTATTTTGCTGTCACCTAGAGCAGAAAGCTATTTCTGGCCCCAGCCTTGTGACAGCTCTTCAGTGACAGTCAGATCTTGGCTTGTAAAATAACAAGGTTAATGTAATGTTTGTTTCATACATTACAGTAGCAGAGTCCTTACCATCATAATTTTTCCTCCTCTGCTGACCGTAATACCAGAGTTCCTGAACCCAGAGTCAACAGCCACCGAATGCTGTAGAACAAACAAATTCTTAAACAGGTCTTGTACACTTTCAGAGCAAAAAGTAACTATGGTTGGCTTACAATGCAACTTGCACTCTCGATTTTGCACAAAACTTATTCAAAACCATCTCCACAGACTGATACAAAATAGTTACATTAAAATGTTTTTAAGATCAAACTCAGAAAGAGTGGGTGGTTTCCAGAGCCCCACAGTGGATCCTGACTAAACCCATCAGTACAGAAGGGACATGATGTATCACTGGGCACTGAACTGCTGTATCCTGTCCAGCTGGTGCACACACAGTCCACAGCTATGAGGGCAGCAGCACTGTACAATAAAATAAGTTCATCCGCTCTCCTGTGCTAATGACAGAACAAAACACTCGTGGCACAGGTTACTCTCTGGAGTAATGCTGGAAAAGCAGAAGGCAAATGCACCAGTCAGTTCGTTGAAACTGGAGCCAAACGGCCTGGCCAGTAGCTAGGTGACATCTCAAATCCATCCCTTTCAGGCAGCAAGAGCAGCCCAGGCTCCCTGGGCAGTGTAGCAGGGGACAGCCTGCTCAGCTCGAAGGCTGAGCTGTAGGTTGAGTAATTTTTCTTTCTAGGTACAGCAAAATATCCACCAAGTTTAAAGCTGTTTTCCTCATCACCTCACTTCACTACCCTAGTTGTTAAACATACATCACATCCCGGACTGCTCCCAGGTGCTACAGCTGGCCCAGGAGCTAATACTTTCACTTTTACAGGCAGGAATGTGGCAGAACAGCAATGTCACATTGTACTTGATGCAGTTTTACCAGCAGCTGTGCATCCTGCAGCTCCTGACACAGCACATGAAGAACAAATGGTTCAAACTTGAACACTATGTCACCAGTGGCTTTCTCTAGTGCTGTCATCTGGAAAATACACCAAAATATTTATATTAACACTGCAAGTGTGTACTGTTATTGCCAAAAAAAGGAAAAAGCAAAGAATAGCTCCTCTTTGTGTGAAACAAACATCAAAAATGCAGCAAATGAGTCCAGGCACTAAGGTTTGTTTTGCTGAGTTTTATTGCTCGCAATAAACAGAAACTTCATGGATTTCCATGATTCTGTTTGCTAAACTGATTGAGTTTGATAGAACTCATGGCAAAACAGGCATCAAAAACTGCTTCACCCTTCCCTGTTCCCCCTCTGTACATCCAAACCCATCCTGTGATACAAGAATTAAAGGTGAAGTCAGAGATTGAAATGAGAAGCAAAAATCCACAGATGAGAAAAAAGAAGTAACTTTATAATTATAAATTGGAAGAAATCCCCTTCAGACTCTTCAGTTCTGTCAGAAGACTAAGGTGCTGGTGGCAGTTTCTTGTGGGTCTGTGAGTGTGCAGACAGCTGCTGACACCCTGCATGGCTCAGGAGGACTTTGTTGTAACTCAACACAGTTTTAACTATGACTCCAGACACTGAGAAATTATTCAAGTTTCTGGTACATTAGCTGCATTTACAACTACACAGAGACTTTGGTATTGAGCTTATTCTCTTCAAAACAGGTCTGAAGCATTTGTTAAGCAACACACCAAAAGAAAAAAATTTGAAAGCAAAGCGTCAATTCACCTCAGCAACAGGAATAAAAACCCTTTCACAGGGCCAGGAGCATTGCAATCGATAAATGTAAAAGCTGTATCACACTGCGCCCTTACCACATCGTCTTTGGCACACATGTCATGTGTCACCAGGAGCCACATGCAGTCCTTCTTCTGCACCTCACCACTGTCTGTGTCCTAGGGATGGGGAGAAACCATTAAACTGGCACTGCAGGTTGCGCGTGTCTGACCTGGTGCTGGTACAAAAAGTGACGTTTCAGAACACAGAGCCGAACTTCCAGCCGAGCCATTTGTGTGCAGATGTACTTGCGTGCGAGGCGCTCGGGCTGCTCTGTGCTCGTATGTGTGCTCAGCCAGGCTGAGCTCCAGCACGGAACTCCAGTACCAGGGGGATTTGAGTCCCAGCGACTGACAGCAGAACTGGGCAGAGAAGCACCGAGAACAGCGGGACCCGCGGTGGCCAGCCCCGCGCGAGCGGCACTCTCGGCCCGGGATCGCCAGGACCGCGATCCCGGGAGCAGAGAGATCCCCATCTCAGGAGCACCGGGAACCCCGTCCCGCGAGCGGCAGGACCC